AGTCCTGTGCTGTGCCTTGTGCCCGATCTCGTACGGCTTGGCAGCCGCGGGTCTGTCATACCCTCGGCCTTTTTACCCGGGCGAAGCTGCCGCATGGCGTGAGCCGTAGGCGGGGGCATTGCGGGGTCCGGCGGCGGCGGCGGCTGGTCTGGATCTGGGGTCGCCGACGGTGACGGCGGAGAGGCAGAGGACGGATTGCCAGGAGCGGGGGTCGCCGACGGTGACGGCGAAGTGGCAGAGGGCGGCTGTGAAGTCGTGGGAGCGGGCGGCGGCGTGGTCGCTGGCGGCGGCGTTGCGGCAGGGGTCGAAGAGGCAGCGGGAGCGGGAGCGGGCGACGGCGTGGGCGCTGGCGGTGGCGGTGTGGCGGTCGAAGGCGTCGGTGCTGGGCCAAAGTTGATCGAGACGACCAGCGGCGTGAACGGGGGGGGTGTCGGCGCAGCGGTGATACCAGGGATCCCCCCTCGCCGGTTGGCGCCGACGTCACCCACGACACGTTGTTGGTGTAGGCGACGCGGCCGGTGGACTCCTGGAGGACCTTGACGGTGCCGCTCGGGTGGTTGTCGCCGCCGTTCAGGTAGTAGCAGAGGGTGGCCTGGTCGTCGAGCTTGGTGCGGCGATCCTCACGCATGAAGCCAGGCTGAAAGAACGGCAGCAAGCGGAAAGGCCCCTGCTCGCCGGTTAACATCTCGTGCGGCGAGCGCCGCCCGGGGTTGGCCTTGGTCGCTGACTGGTTGAGAGCGTCGGCGGCCCATTTCGCCGATTCCATCCAATGACGGTCACCGCGCTCGTCGAGGCCGGGGATGGAGGCGAATTCGACGTTGAACACACGGCCAGCGCTGCGGCGAGCGGCCATGCCGGCCTTTATGATGCGCCAGATGGCGCTCTCGACGACGCCGTTGTACTGTGCAACGCCAGGAGGCGTAAATTCGACGCCGATGCCGTTGTCGTCGCAGAAGCGCCGGAAGTCGCCGCGGGTCCATTCGGTGCCGTTGTCGACGCGGAAACACTCGATGCGCACGAGGTCGTTCCGCCCCACGTCCGCCAGCAGCCTTTTCGTTGCCGCCAGCGCGTCGGACTTCCGCCGGAGACCGTAGACCTTGTTCTACCGCGAGGCGCTGTCCACGGCGACGAACAGGTAGAGGTTGCCGCCCAGGGAAGGCAACAGCGGTCCACACAGGTCCAGGTGAACACGCCCCAGTGGCTTGGACGCCCGCGCTCCCGGCCCCCGCGGCACCGACCCTCGCCTGCCCTTTGCCTTCATGCAGTCCGTGCACGGCTCCAGCTTGCCGGTGAGCACGATGCCTCTCTGCTAGGCAGTTTCTCTCAAAGAGGCTCGCAAGCGTGGGCAAGGGAGCGGTGGAAGCGGTTGATGTCAACGGACTTTTCAGTCGAACCAAGAGCAAACGGGGACGCACCAGGGCCAAGCGTGGCCGCTCCCAAGTCAAAATCAGCACCCCCATCAATGCTATCCAAAACACCAGTCAAATTCGCAGCGTCAAACTCTGGGATAAACACGGGGAAAAAAACTTGATACGGGCTGTCATCATTGCCATCCATGAGCTGCTCGTCGGTGTATCTCTAATATCCATACCCGGAAAAGTACCCACACACACAAACTCGGACTCCGAGGAACGTACTACGTCGGTAGAGCCGGCGGGCGGGACGCTCTCACTCGCAGGTAAAACACTGGTGGGACCAGTGGGCGGGACGCTATCAGCCGACCGTACTACGCTAGCAGAGCCAGCGGGAGGAATACGCAACATGGACACCAATGATTTCGCGGAGCCCCCCTTTTGGGAAGGGGAACACGCGGAGCCAACGGCGGGGGCGGAATCGGGGGCAGTCACGAATGCGGGCAAAGCAGCAGGGTCTACAATAGTCGCAGATGGGTCGTACGGCAACCGCATGGCATACGCTGCAGACGCTTTTTCCTCTCTAGCAAAGAGCAGTCCATTTTGTAGGGTTGCACCATGTTCGTCGTAGAGGATTGGTTGCTTCAAAGAAACAGCATGCGTTGAGAACAAGTTGAAACTCAGGCTCTCGACAACAGAAACGTCAGTGAGCTTCACAAACATCGTCGTTGTTTCAGCATTCTCATCCTCCTGAAAGGATCTAACATAAATACTACCGATGGCTTGCACGTCTAGCAGTCGACCATCACCTGCAACGATATACTTCCTACCGCGGGGATCTCTTGCAGGTCATACATGTGTAGGCTGCTGTTGGTGAAACAATTGCTGGCTACTGAGTCAGCTACCCATCTCTCGCTACCAGGCGGCCCCTCACTAGATTCCACACTCAGCAAAGACGAAGCAGACGCAGAAGACTCTACTCCAACCGTCACTCCTATCCTACTGAAAAAATCTTCAGGGTGAGACTTGCCTATGGGCACCGATTGTGCCGTGCAGAGGTGGATGTAGCCCGAAGATGGAGGCACGCCAGGAGAAGGAGTAGAGGACGAGGAGAAAGCGGTGGTGCTGCTGCTCGCGGGGGGGGGCTGATGTTGCTGCTCGGTGATGAATCTTCGCCGGCAGGAGGGTAGTACACGTAGTGGATGCAGCCGTCAGATGAACGGCTGTCTTCGTACCCTGAGGAGTAGCTGTAGCTGTCCCCACCGCCGGCGTAGTGGGCGTACCCAGCGTCGTGGTGGCCGTCTTCGTAGTAGCAGCCGTCGTCGTAGTCGCTATAGTCTTCGTAGTAGCCACCATCATCGTGGGCGTAGTACACAACGTACGCCTGCTCTCTTCCGCGGCCAGAACGCGCGTGCCCCGGGCCTCCCCCTGCCCGTTCTCTCTCGGCACGCCCGTCGCTGCTGTGGCGTCCCGCGGGCCCACGACCCCCCGGGTGACGCCCCAGACGACCACCAGGCCCACGTCCACGAAGAGGTCTCGGGGGGGGTGAGGCTTGGCTCCAGACACCGCCACCATGACCGGTGTGGTGCTGCTGCCCTCCTAGCCTCACCCATCGGCCGCCACCGCGGCCTGGCCTCGGCGGCGGTCTACCCCCTTGCTGGCTACCGCCGCCCGAGCGGCGTTCCTCGGCGCCCTCTCTCGAACGCGCGCGCCGCAGTCGCTGCTGGAGACGACGCTGCTCGTTGGTGTGAAGCTCGGACTGGTGGTAGCGGCAAAATCCGCCGGGGTCAATGTTGAACACGTCACTATTTTTCTTCTCTCCGTCACGATTTTGGCCGCCAGCTGCTGCCTGACCGCCGTCTTGACCCCCGGATGCCCCCCCACTTCCCCCGCAACGCCGGCCCATGCCGGACGCGGCGAGAGCGAGCTCCACCTGGCGCCTCTCCCCCTTGCTCCTCTCGCGCTCCATCTCCACGTGGGCGTCCCTCACCGCAGTCTCAAGGGTACGCAACGTCAGGACGTCATGGGCAAGTAGTATTCCTTTTCGCACGACATACAACGAAGAGGGAAGGTCACGAGCAATGCCTTTGTTGGCATCTGTTTCATCCTTAATCGTGCCTATTGATTCGAGACGCAGGCGAAGGGCCTCTGAGAGGGCAATGTCATTCTGTGGACTCTCGGACTCTCTCATCTCCAACTCCGTCCAGTCCTGCTCCAACTTCGACTTTTCTGACTGCTTTTTCTCCTGATAGAACTCTGTCACGATTTTCCAGCTTTTTGGGGACTCTCACACGCCAGAATCAATCTCTGAATCGGGGGGTACAATGCCTTGCTGATAAGGATATTCCACAGTTTCAAAGACTTGTCTACAACTTCATTACCAAAAAGTCTCCGAAGGTCTCCTACATTCACACCACTCTTCCCGACCTTGACCTCGACCTCCACTTCCAACGCATCATGCACACTCTCCTCCTGAAAATATATCATCTTACTACGAAAAATATCAAATGTAATATACAAGTCCTGCTCATTCTTCACGCTACCAAGCCACGGTTCTATCAAACATAACAGTCTAGACTATACAAGTCCTGCTCATTCTTCACGCTACCAAGCCAAGGTTCTATTTCTGAGCCAGGATTGACACGTAACGTGCCTGAGCGGGCAAAGCCCTGTTGTTCAGCGATGGCCTCAGCTGTCGCCTTGGCCGCTTGCGCCACGATGTGTGCGACGCTGCTGGGGTCGTTGAAGCTAGCTGTTTCACCCTGGCTGGAGGGTGATGGCTGGCTGCCGGTAGGTGGGACTGGGTTGCCGGCTGATGGTGGTTGGGCGTAGGTGACTTCACCCTCGTTGATCCTGTTGGCTTCAAGTTCGGCTTGTACTCGTTGCTGGACGATCTCCTCCACTTTTTTTTGTTGTAGTTCTTCCCCGCTAAGGGCCGTTTTAAACTGACCGACTTTTTGTCAAAATGTTTGAAAGTGTCAAAAAAATGGAACCTGTATGTAGGCGTTTGTCCATATTTTTTCAAAATATTTGGAACGAAGTTGGGCGCGAAAACTTTGCTCCACTTCGTTCCAACTTTTTGACAACCCTCTCAAAGTATTTGGAGCACTTTCCAAAGTACCCTTGCAGAGGCACGCGAGGGCTGCTGCGTCTGCACCACGAGTGCCCCTCACCGTAGAAAGTCAGCTAGGGTTGTGTGTG